AAAATGTATGTGTGCATGCATATAATATATATATATATATTATATGCATGCACACATACATTTTTATCCCGTTTGTTTGTACACATTGTGGTATTCATATATATATATGTGTACATATATGTGTGTTTGTATAGATGCATATATATATATATATATATATACATATGTACGTAAACGTAAATGTTTATATGTATATATATATATATATATATATATGCACGTCATACAGGTCATCGAATATATCTACTAATATATGCATACATAAGTATATAAACAAATAAATATATGTATATATATGTACATTTATTTATTTATTTATTTAGACAAGTATACGTATAGCGACATGCATATGCATGTATTCATATGTTAACAAGTAGAAAGATATATATATATATATATACATGTATATATACATGTATATGCGTATACATATTTTTATTTATAATCTTATATGCATTGATGCATGCATATATATATATATATATATATATACATATATATATATATATATGTATGGATATATAGACTCATAGGCATGTACAAAATTGCACACAAACAAACGCATATAATACGCATATACGCTCAAGCCTTCGAAATATATATATATATATATATCTATATATTATATATATAAACAATATAGATAATATGTACAAGTATAATATATATATGGCTATAATATAATATACATATATATATATATATATTATATATATATATTATATATTATATATATGAACATTGACGCATATCCCTGTAAATGTGCAGAACCATACATATAATTGGTGAATATATACGTATAATATATATATATATATATATATATATATACATGCATACGTATATATTATGTATATATATATATATATATATATGTTTGTATGTATAGGTAGAGTTAAGGGGTAAAACTGCAGCAGTTCGTCACGACATGCGAAGCAGAGACTCAAAACGAGGCAGTGACGCGTTTGTCGGGCCTTATATACTAAACCCTAAACCCTAAACCCTAAACCCTACACCCTAAACCCTAAACCCTAAACCCTGCTTAGTAGGCCCCTACACGCTGAGAGTTTAGCTTTTTTGTCTGTGTCTCGCTCCTGATGTTTAAAAGGATAAGTATAAATAAATATATATATATATACTTATATCTATTTAAATGTATTTGCATGCTGGCATGCGGGTGAATATGCAGAGCCCCGATCTTATAATATTCTTTATGGCTTTTTGTTGTCTCCTTTCTTGTGTACAGTAACTGTCTCCTTTTGTCTCCTTTTATCTCTTTTAAGGCTGCTGCCTTATTATTATTTGAACTGTCTCCTCAGTCTATTCCTGTCTCTTTTCAGGTGTCTCTACAGCATATACTGCTGGAGACCCAACAAAAAGCACACAGATAACAGCAACGGGGCTTTGCATGCCCCCTAACAACAGCTGCCTCCTCTGTGACAGCAGCAGCAGCAGCAGCAGCAGCAGCAGCAGCTGCTGCTGCTGCTGCTGCTGCCATGTCTCCTTTTGTCCTCTTTGTCCGGGCCTACTTGCATGCATGCATCAATTAGAGAGAGCCCCGCAGACAAAAGGAGACAGGGAGATGCAGCAGCAGAACAAGCAGCAGCCCCTCTGGGCCCTATAAATGCATTTAAGAGAAGTGATTGGAGACAAACAAACAAAGTAGAGAGAGCAATAAAGAGATAAAAGAGACAAAAGGAGCAAAAGGGAGACAAAGGAGACAATGCAAACAAAGCTAACACTGCAAAGATAACAGACAAATAAAAGTAAAGAACTAGATAACGCAATTATATATTTTTAAACAAATTCATCTAATTATAAAGCAAACAAAACAAGCGAAAATACAGAGGCAACGAGGCGACAAAAGAGACAAGGAGACAGTGCAGACAAGGAGACAAAGGAGACACATACACAAATGAAACAAAACAAAACAAATAAACAAAAGAAACAGCAGACACAAGAGAGACAAGATTGAGGGTAGTTTAACAGAGACAGCACATCCCTTGCATGCGCTGTAGCTGCCCCGGTACACTCCAACCCCCAAGGTGTACGTACACCGTAAACACAAACCCTAAGCCCTTTTAAGGGCCTTGACTGCCTACAACAAAAGCCCCAAAGACTGCATGCATGCGCGTAAAATAAGCAGCGCCTCCTCCTCTATTAAAGGCCCCACACCCATATTTCATCGGTACACTCAGCACGAAGAGGCTTTAGATAGCTGCCTCCTTTGAGACAGAAGCAGCAGCAGCAGCAGCTGCTGCTACTGCTACTGCTGCTGCTGCTGCTGCTGCCGTGTCTCCTTTATCAACAGGTGTCTCCTCGCGCCCATGTGCTGTGTTTATGTGGGCCCTTCGTCTTAAGGCCCAGTTGGGGGCCCCCTAAACAATACCGGGGGCCCCTCCTTCCCCGACTGTCCTAAAGCAAATCTTAACTTCAGCTTCGCAGAGATTAAGAAGGTTCTTGGGGTTGAGTTGTCTCTTCCTTCTTCACTTCAAGTGTCTCTATATAAGACTCCGCTGTCTCCCTGGATGGCTGCTGTGTCTCCTTGACTGTCTCCAGTGTCTCCTTATACACCTGATTTGTCTCTTCGCATGTCTTCTCTGTCTCATTACTTACCCCATTTGTCTCCTTTACTGCATCATGTGTCTCCTTTGTCTCTTTCCCTGTCTGCTGCGTCTGTCTGTACGCCCATGCTGGTGTGCGAGAGCGTTTGCCTGTCTCCTGTGTGCATATACACTGCGTTGCGCGCGCTGTGGGGTGTGCGGGGATCGGATCCCGCCTTGTGCCGCTGCGGCGTTGCGAGTCAAGGTCAGTGGGATGTGATGGGATCGCATCCCATGGCGCTGTGCTGTATGGGTGTGTGGGGTGTGTTGAGATCGTATCCCGTAGGGCTGGTCTATATGTTTGTGTGGGGTGTGTTGGGATCGGATCCCGTGAGCCAATTTTTTGTGTGTATGTGGGGTGTGTGGGGTGTGTGAGGTGTGTTGGGATCGGATCCCGTGGTGTCACTCTGCGGAGTTGGGCATCGACGATCCCCACAACGGCGTTGAATGCTCCTAAGCCTCCCTGCTCGCAATGCATAGGAAATGTGCTGCCAGGGAAGACAGAATAATAGAGGAAACTATGGCCGATCCCGCTCCCCAAGACTTGTTTGTGGCTGCTGCTAAACCCCACAAATGGGATCCGATCCCGTCCTGGGAGCGACATGTCTAGATGCTGGAGTAGAGGCTCCCGGCCACAAGTGGAGGCAAAGTTTGTTATTACATAAGGAATATAACCCTCAAGCATTGCCTTAGACAAAGACAAACAAATACACAAAAACGCACGCTGCGTACAAACATCTCAAGTAAATAAATACCCAGTTAAACACTGTTAACAACAACAACAGCAGCAGCAGCAGCACCAACAGCCGCAACAACAGCAGCACCGCCAGCAGTGACAGCAGCGCGAACAGCAACACCAACACCAACAGCAGCAGCAGCACCACCACCTAGAGCAACACCACCGACAGCAGCAGCAGCAACACCCCCTACAGCAGCAGCAGCAGCACCCCCAACAGCAGCAGCAGCACCACCACCACCCGCAACAGCAGCAGCAGCAGCACCACCACCACCCCCAACAGCAGCAACAGCAGCACCACCACCCCCAACAGCAGCAGCAGCAGCACCACCACCCCAACAGCAGCAGCAGCACCACCACCACCCCCAACAGCAGCAGCAGCAGCAGCAGCACCCTCGAACAGCAGCAGCAGCAGCAGCAGCAGCAAGATCATGATACCTGAACAGCAAATTCTGGGGTGAAGTTTTTGCCGTCGAGTATTTTTCCCCAGTTGTGAGTTTTGCGGGTTTTCCAGGGCCAAATATAATTCATAATAAATTTAAATCTATTTAATAAATCTTCTACGTAAGCAGCATCAACGCTGCTGCTGCATGCGCTGTGTACGCAGCACTCGCACCCCACACCACCAGAACCTGTGGCTGTGGGGGCCCCTGTGGGGGCCCCTTTGGGGGCCACTGTGGGGGCCCCTTTGGGGGCCCCTTTGGAGGCCCTTTTGGGGGCCCCCAACGGGCAGCGAACAGCTGCAGCAGCAGAAGAAGAAGCAGCAGAAGGAGCTGCTGCTGCAGCTGCAGCAGCACCTCGTGCATGCAGATGCTGCACCTTTCCCTCACACTTCCGACCCACCATCTTATGCGGCACCGCTGCAGAGCCGCAACACTCATTAGCAGCAGCAGCAGCAGCAGCACCTTCTGCTGTTGCAGTAGCGGCAGATTTCGTCTTCTGATGCTGCCTTAGGAAGGAGGCGCTCGAAGGCTGCTCTATCTTCTGCTGCTGCATATACACCCCAGAGACACCCACCGTGTTTGCTGCCTGTGATGTGGGCTGCTCCTGCGACTGATCTTGCTGCTGCTGCTGCTGCTGCAGCGACTGCATGCGCTGTGCGGATGGTGCGTGCAGCTGCTGCGGGGCCCCTGCTGCGCTGCACTGATCCACGAGGGGTGCCAGAGAGGGCATGGGCGGTGCAGCAGCCGCAGCTGCTTCTGTATCTGCTGCAGCTGTCGCTCCATCGGTTGTCAGTGCAACAGCAGCAGCAGCAGCAGGAGCAGCAGCAGGGGTAGCGTTGGCACTGGAGTTTGCAGCTGGATGGGACAGTTTGAAGGTCTGTGGGGCGTATCCCTCTACTGTCTCTCCTGCTGTTTCTGCTGCTTCTGCTGCTGCTGCTGCTGCTGCTGGGCCTGCTGCAGTGATTGCAGCAGCAGCACCAGCAGCAACACCGGTTCGTGTTGCTGTCTCCTGCTTCTCTGTAGGGCTGTTGTCTGACTCCGATTGCTCCCATGTCCCTTGGTGTTCTGCAGCTGTTTCTGCTGCTGCTGCTGCTGCTGCTGCTGCCGTTGCAGTTGCTAAACATGTCTGGCGTCCCTCTGCTGCATCAGAGCTTTCGCTGCTGCCCCTCAGCAGCAGCGCCAACTGTCTCCTTTCTGTCTCTCCTTGGGGCCCCCCTTTGTCTCCGCTTGTTTGTGAGTCAGCAGCGTGCAGCAGCTCAACACTATTCATTGCAGAGCAGCCGCTTCCTTTCCTGTTTGCTGCTGCTGCTGCTGCAGCAGCAGCAGCAGCAAGTGGTTCTCTGTCTAGGCGAGGAAGAGACCCCTCGTCAGCATCAAAGGAGACCCTTGGGGACAGCATCATCGGCAGCAGCAGCTCCTTAGACTCAACTGCAACAAAAGAAGCCTCTGCACTAGGAGCTGCTTCCGCTGCTGCTGCTGCTTCAGCAGCTTCTTCGGCTGCTGCTGCTTCAGGAGATGGATCCGCTCCTGGTGCTCCAGGAGCTGGTTCCGCTGCTGCTGCTGCTTCAGGAGCTGGTGCTGCCACTGCTTCAGGAGCTGCTTCTGCTGCTGCTACAGGGGCTGCTGCTGCTGCTGCTTCAGGAGCTGCTGCTGCAGCAACGGCAGGCTGAGACTGTGCAAGATTCCCCTCCTTGTGAAATGCAGTTGCTATGGCCCCACCTGTTGCTGCTGCTGCTGCTGCCGTTGCCTCCACCGCAGCAGCATCAGCATCCGCAGCAGCAGCAGCAGCAGAAGTCGACTGTGCTGTTTCCTGCTGGGGCGGAGGGTCAGAGGAGTGCTGCTGCTTCTGCTGCTGTTTTGGATTGGCCTCAAGAAGAGATATAGATAGTTGATTGTCTCCTTCAAGCCTCTCCCTCTTCATTAGCTGTCTCCTTCTATATCTTTCTTCTCTTGTCTCCTGCTCTTGCATGCACCCGCTGCGGTGTCTCTTCACCTCCAACTGTCTCCTTTCAGGAGATGCATCAATCGAACGTAAACGTAGCCGCTTCAGCAGCAATCCAGGGGCCCTTACTGTCATCATACACCTATCGCCACTCAGGGGGGCCTTGGGGGCCCCCCTGAGGGGGCCCCCAGGGGTCCCCCCAAGGTCTCCCTCAGAGGGGCCCCCAGGGGGCCCCCCAAGGTCTCCCTTAAGGGGGCCCCCAGGGGGCCCCACAGGGGCCCCTCTTAGGCGCCCCACATTAGTAGATATGTCTGGATGTGTTGCTGGTCTTCTAAATGTCTCTGTTTTATTTTCTTGTTTTTGTTTAGCTAAGGACGGAGACACCTGCCGTCTCCTCAATAAATAGCCGTTGCAGCACAATCCATCCTCAAGCTTGAGTGTCTCCCCAAAGCAACTCAACGCCTGCTGCTGCTGCTGCTGTTGCTCTTGCTGCTGCTGCTGCTGCTGCAGCTTGCGTTGCTTCTCACGCCGTCGGCGAAGGAAGTCCTGGATTCTTTTCAATTGCTGCTGCGTCTCCTTCAGCTGCTGCTGCAGCAGCGCATCTTCACTAAGTGTCTCCTTCTGCTGTCCCTTAGGGGGCCTCAAGAGGGGCCCCAGGGCCCCCCGGGTAACAGGCGAGTGCTGAGGGTCTGGGAAGCAGCAGCAAGGGGTGTGCATGCATGCGATGGGCCCCCCCCCAAACTGTCTCTTTAGGGCCCCCTGTCTCCGCATGCGAGGGATAGCTCGGGCCCACCGCCGGCGTTGCTGCAGGCGCTGTCTCCCTTGAGCAGCCGCCCTGCGTTCTGCAGCAGCAGCTGCAGCAGTAGCAGCAGCAGCAGCAGCAGCAGTGGGAGCGACGCAGGCAGGAGCAGCCGCAGTAGCTGCTGCTGCTGCAGCAACCCTCGAAGCAGAAAAGGGTTCATCTACTATTGTGTAGCTGCTACAAAAGTCTTTGGGGCCCCCAGGGCCCACGGGGGCCCCCCTCCTTCCCTCTACCAGTAGGGCCCCCTCCCCTGCAGCAGGAGTGAGGGTACGGGGGGCCCCTTCACGAGCTGGGGGCCCCTCTGCAGCAGCACTCTCGTTTGGCTGTGCCTCTGCAGCAGGTCTTGCTGCTGCAGCGACGCCAGCAGCAAACGATACCCCCTCAAAGATACCCTGAGGGGCCCCCGGATCCTTGCATACTCCAAGGGCCCTTCTATTGCTCTTATAAGAAGACACAGGGGGGCCCCCATCCTCAGCAAAGCCGTTTAATGCACTGCAGCAAACATCAGGGGGCCCTCTACTCTGCGTCTCGCCTCCGCTAGCCGTAGTGGGGGCCCCTGAAGTGCTGCAGGGCCCCTGAGAGGGGCCCCCAGTACTGTCTATGGGGTCAGCAGGGCCCACCAGGGGGGCCCCCTCAACAACTGGGGGGCCCCCCCGGACCCAGCTACCGTTGCTATAAGCGTTGTCCTCCTGCTCTACGCCTTCTGCTGCTGTTGTTGCTGCTGCTGTTGCTGTTGTGTCTCCTGTTGCTCCTGTTGTTGCTGCTGCTGCGGCAGTTAGGGCATCTGTTCGTGGGTAGGGTGTATGTGATCTTCTGTCTCCTCGTTGCTGCGGGTTCAGCTGTCTCCTGTTGCAGCTTTCTGTTCCGGGGGGCACCTCTGTCGCGGTGTCTGTGGGGCCCCCGTGCTTCTGCTGCTGCTGCTCACCCCCAGCTGCTGCTGCTGCTGCTGCTGTTGCTGCTGTTGCTGCTGCGAGCCTCCCCGAAGCCAAGTCAGTAACTGTCTGCACTATCTGTTCCAAGTCCTTTTGCTTCGGCAGCGGCATATGAAAGCCCTCAATTAAGACCCCCAGCAGCAACACAGGGCTCTCCCCGTCTTCAGGGGCCCCAGGGGCCCTCTGACGGGGGCCCCTGCTGCTGCCCCTAGGGGCCCCCTGCAACTCCGCTGAACCCTCTACACCTTCAGAGGCCCCGGAGGAGGGGCCCCTGCCCTGTAGGGCCCCCAAGTTGGGGGCCCCTTCACTTCCTGTACCTTCTTTGTGGGGTCCGTCCCCTTGGGATCGGGATCGGGATCGGGATCGTGGGGGGAGACGAACGAAGATAGGCCACATGCGTTGAAACTCAACAACAGCAACAGGCTCCTCTTGCTGCTGCGCCTGTCGGGCCCTCCTCAGCCACAATGAGGGCACTTTGGGGGCCCCCTTAGAAAGACTTCTTCTTAGGGCCGAGGGGGCCCCCTGGGGGGTACTACAAGGGGCCCCCCTGGAGATACTACTGGGGGCCCCCTTGGTACTAATGTGGGCCCCATTCGGGGCCCCATTCGGGGCCCCCTGGAGGGTACTACTAGGGGCCCCCTTGAGGGTACTACTGGGGGCCCCATTGGTGGCCACATTGGGGGCCCCTGGGTACGCTGTAGAGGGGGCCTTGGGGGCCGCCGAACGGAGTCGGTAGGGAGCCTCCCTCCCTAAGGGCAAGCATCCCTCCTCTGCTGCTGCTGATCCTGCTGCTGCTGCTGCTGCTGCTGGAACTTCAACTACGGATCCCCTCAGGGTCTTCGTTGGGGGCCCCCCTGGGCCAGTTTCGGGTAGGGCCCCCCCCCTTTGGGTATTCACTCTCTGCTTCTGCTGCTGCTGCTGCTGCTGCTGCTGCGGCTTCTGTTGCAGCGGCTGCCGCAGCGCATAGTTGATTGCCCCTGGGCGCATGGAAGTTGCTGCTGCTGCTGCTGCTTCGGCGTTCTCTCTTAGGGCCCCTTTGCTGTTAAGGAGACGGGGGCCCCCCTGAGGGGCCCCCTTCTTCTTGCGCGAGGCCTCAGGAGAGACAACTGCAAGATGCTCCTCTATACAGTCGAACCAGGGTTTATCAATGCTGCAGCAAACCAGAGAGGCCCTCAGTCTCTTAGGGTCTGCTGCGCGCACCACACGGAGACACTGCGTGTCTGGGCCCGGGGCATCTGAGCTGCTGCTGCTCTCTTCTTCAGCAGGGGGGCCCCCCCAAGCGCGACGGGGGGCCCTCAGGGGCCCCCGTCGACGTCTTAGCCGCGGCAGCAGCATTGTTCCTGGGGGGGAACCCCCAGCAGCAGCAGCAGCAGCAGCAGCAGCAGAAGCAGCAGCAGCACCACCTGCAGCTTTGGCCGTCGCCTTCAGGGACTTTCGGAGTTTCAAAGGATCTGCAGCAACGGCGCCACCAGCAGCAGCAGCAGCAGCAACAGCAGCAGCAGAAGCCTCATCTGACTCCTTTTTGCACGCCACACCCTCTGCTGCTTCTGTATGCAGTGCAGCTGAGCCCCCTCCCCCTTCTTCTGCTGTGGGGCCCCCCAAGGGGACCCCAGTACCCTCCATCCTTCCTTGAGGGCCCCAGGGGCCCCTGTCTCCTGCACCAGCGAGAGGTGTATAGACACCAGAGGAGACAGCTGGGCTCATATCGGGGACAGAGGCCTTATAAGGTGCAGCAGCAGAGTTTGGGTCAACGTTTGCACGCTGCTGTTCCTGCTGCTGTTCTTGTTGCTGATGCTGCTCTTGCTGCTGTTGCTGCTGCTGCTGCTGCTGTTCCTGTTGCTGATGCTGCTCTTGCTGCTGTTGTTTCTGCTGTTCTTGTTGCTGCTGCTGCTGTTGCTGCTGTTGCTGCTGTTGCTGCTGCTGTTGCTGCTGTTGTTGCTGCTGTGCGGCCTCGTGTTGCAGGCGCTGCAGCAACTGCTGCATGTTCTTCAGTTTGTCCTTTGCTTGCTGCCGTTTTGCTTTTTCGCTTTCGCTGCAGCAGCAGCGGTTGCTCTGCAGCAGCAGCTGGTGCAGCGACTGCGGTTTGCTGCTGCTGCTGCGGCTACCCCACTGCAGCAGAGACCACTGGTCCTCGCACAGGTCCACCCCTGCAGCAGCAAACACTGCATGCCAATCAAAGGGGCGTCCCCACCCCAGATGAGAAAACCGTTTGCTGCTTTTAGAGCTTCCTGCACCTCTTAGGCCCTCCTGACGGGGGGTCCCCCTACCCCGGGCTGCTGCTGCTGCTGCTGCTGTTGCTGCTGCTGCCACCGGTGCTGCTTCTGTTGCTCCTCCTGCTGCTCCTCCTGCTCCAGCAGCCTGACGCCCATATCGAAGCACCGCGGGGCGCCCGGAAGAAAGCGAAGAAGGTGTCTCCTGCAACAAACAAGCAATCACGCAGCACCAGCAGCAGCAACAGCAACAGCAGCAGCAGCAACAGCAGCAACAGCAGCAGCAACAGCAGCAGCATAGCGAGCCTGATAGATAGGTGATTCATAAGCCCTTCTGTGGCATCTCTAAGCACAGCTTCCCCCCTTTTCTATTTTGCGAGGAGACATTCTGTCTCCTCGCTTGGTGCTTCTCCATCGAATGCTGCTGCTGCTGCTGCTGCTGCTGTGCCTGCTGAGGGTGCTTTAAGAGCAGCAGCAGCAGAAGCAGCAGAAGCAGCAGCAGAAGCAGAAGGCGAAGGGCCTTAGAGAGAGAGGGAGACAAGGAGACAAAACACTCACACTATGCGACCGCCCCCTCCGTGTGCAGACACCTTGATAGAAAACTGTATCCTTCTTCGCTCTACCAGCTGTCTCTGTCTCCTTCTCAGGGGCCCCCTTTCTTATAGCAGGGGGCCCCCCAAACCCTAGATCCTGAGGAGGGGGGCCCCCATGAGGGGGCCCCTTTGCTGCAGCCACGTCTAGGGTCCCCCTCACTTCACCTGTCTCCTCTCTGGGGGCCCCTCCTTCACAAACGCCGTTTTGGCGGGGCCCCTCCAGGGGGCCCCCTTCTATAGGGGCTACCTCATGGGGGCCCCCCTCCTCAGGATCCAGGGTTTGGGGGTTCCCATCCGTGGGGGCCCCCTCTTTAGGAACCCCCTCCTTCGGGGCTCCCCCAATGGGGGCCCCCCCCTCTGGGGCCACCTCCTTGGGGGCCCCTTCCTTGGGGGCCCCCTCCTTGGCGGCCCTCTCTTTGGGGGCCCCCTCCTTGGGGGCCCTCTCTTTGGGAACCCCCTCCTTGGGGGCCCCTTCCTTGGTGGCCCCCTCCTTGGGGGCCCTCTCTGTGGGGGCCCCCTCCTTGGGGGCCCCTTCCTTGGGGGCCCCCTCCTTGGGGACCCCCTCTTTGGGGGCCCCTTGCTTGGGGGCCCCCTGTTTGGGGGCCCCCTGGTCTGAAGACTCCTTGGGGGGCCCCTGGTCTGCTGTCTCATTGGGGGCCCCCTGTTTGGAGGCCCCTTGCTGTGAATTCTCCTTGTGGGTAGTACCCTCTTTTGGGGCCCCCATGAGGGGCCCCCTCCTTGTGGGTTTCCCTAAAGGAGAGAGACAGAGAGAGTAAAGGAGACAGAAAGAGTAAAGGAGGCAGAGACAATGAAGGAGACAGATGGAGACAAGGAGACAGAAGAGAGACACTAAGAGACACCCATAGTCAGCCATCTGCCCGCACCCAGCCAACAGACTCTCATAATACTGTGCACCCCTAAACCCTAAACCCTAAACCCTAAACCCTCCTCGTTTCACAAGGCCTTTTCTGTGCCTGAGGCGAGGCAAGAGATAGACGAAGCTATAGCAGCAGCAGCAGCAGCAGCAATTATGCATACCCGAGGACCTGCGCCGATAGGGGCCCCCGGGGGCCCCCCTTTCTTGTACCCCTATCTCATTAGCTGTGAGAGAGCCGCTGCAGTGATAGCCCCAGCACACGGGGGCCTTAACATCTAAACCCTTGCGTCTCCTTTCCTGCACGCCAAACCCTAAACCCTAAACCCTAAACCCTAACCCTAAACCCTAAACTGCGGACACACCCGGCAAAACAAACCACCTTAAACCCTAGACCGTAAACCCTATAGCAAGCTGCGAAATGAGGGTTTTCGTTTAGGGTTTAGGGTTTATTAGAGTCGTGCGACGTGGGTTTAGAGTACAGAGGTGAGAATTGTAAGGGTTTAGGGTTTAGGGTTTAGGGTTTAGGGTTTGTTTACTGCTAGGAGTCTCCTTAGGGTTTGCTTGAGGAGGTGGCTTTGGGCTCCGCATAGAAGAGCATCCATACAAAGAGGGCAAAGACGAGAGAAGCAAGGCCCAGCACAGTTGCTGCTCTCTGCCTTTGTAAAAGGAGACAAATTGATGCCCCAATGAAGCTGAGAAGAGCGCTGTACTACGACATCCCCCATACACTGCGCTGCTGCCATTAACTGCAGATACACCCCAAACCCCACACATTCATAAATATATGTACAGATAGACACAAAGACACAGCAAATAGGAGACAGGTAATTAGTAATATAAGGAGACAGATAAAGGAGATGTATAAGTATATATAAAGAAGAAAAGAAAGAAACAGAGACAAAACAAAGATAGATAAAGAGACAGACAAAAGGAGACAGACAAAAGGAGACACCGCCGTCTCTGATAAATACAAAAAGAAATAAAGAGATGAAGAGACACCGCAAAGGCAGACAAAAGGAGACAGACAAAATAACACGAGCAAAAGGAGGCAGACAAAAGGAGACAGATAAAAGGAGACAAGCAAAAGGAGACAAGCAAACGAGACAGAGACAGACAAAAGAACATAAGCAAAAGGAGACAAGCAAAAGAAGAGAGACGCCACACAGAGACACCGCAAATAGCCCATAGAGAAATACAGTAGCAAACAAACAAACACAAGGAGACATCCCTGAGGCTATTAAAGACAAAGACAAAGAGACAAAGAGATAAAGAGATAAAGAGATAAAGAGATAAAGAGATAAAGAGACAAAGAGCGACAGAGAGACAGAAGGAGAGAGACAAAGAGACCCCTGAAAGGGCCTTGGAGACAAAAGGAGACATCTGATGCCTCATGGGGCCCTGAAGATCTGTAGATTGCTAATAGAGTGAGTGCTTGTGTTTGCATGCATTTAGAGTTGTTTGCTTAAATTGACGTACTGCAATTTGTTTATTAGCTCTGAGAAGAGACGGAGGAAACGGCCAGAAAAGTTTATGATTAGCGAGGCAGCAGGTTTGAGGTGTATGCGGAGCTAACATATCTACAATATCTTGCGGGACATGTTTATTTAATTCTTCTCTTTGAGTTGTTAATGCTAACTCTAATAAATGCTGAAGTGTATGCAGCAGAGACACTGTATGCTTACGAGAGACACTAAACCACAGCTTGCAGCACAGATTACCGCTGAATAGTCCCTCTAAGTATTCTTCTCTCCTATTACTTTCATCATCATACTGCTGCAACAAACAGCTTTCATCATATGCAGAACCTAAAGAGGGGCCCCTACTCTCTTCAGCATATTCAGGGGCCCCTGCTAACCTCTCGGGCCCTTCAGGGAGCCCACCACATAACAGGGGCCCCTCAACTGTCTCTGAGGATGAGAGGGCTCCTTCAACGCCTTCTGAGAATAGCAGGGGCCCCCCAGGGGCCCCACAGGATATGAGGGGCCCCCCAGGGGCCCCACAGGATATGAGGGGCCCCCTAGGGGACCCATACGATATGAGGGGCCCCCTAGGGGACCCATACGATATGAGGGGCCCCCCAGGGGCCCCAGACGCTGCGAAGGCCTCCTCAGGGGCCCCATAGGATGAAAGAGGTACCTCAGGGTCCCCAGAGGAGGGTAGGGGGCCCCCAGGGGCCCCATAGAATGAGAGGGGCCCCTGAGGGGCCCCGGAGGCTTGTAGGGGCCCCCCAGGGGCCCCAGAAGATACGAAGGGACACCCAGGGGGCCCTGGTAATGCAAGGGGGCCCCCAGGGGCCCCTGGGGCCCCCTTGACACCAAAAGGTAAGAGGGGCCCCTTAGGGGGCCCCCCAATAGACAATTCATTCGGATTGTCTTGGCTGTCAGCAGACGAATCCTTACGAGGAGGGTCCCCTGGGGGCCCTCCTGGGGGCCCCCCTGGGGGGCCCCCAGGGTCTGTAAGGGTATCAGCTAATGTTGAGGGGGCCCCCAAGGTCTGCGATGTCGAAGAGAAGGAAATTAGACTTCCTTCAGCAGCTGCTGCATGCGTTATGCTGCAGGGATACAGCTGAGGCTGGGGGCCCCCCATTATAAGGCAGAGGTATTATAAAGAGATGCTGCTGCAGCACGAGAGAAGAGGGGCCCCCCTCGCTCTGTTAAGAGCAGCAAGAAGACATTAAAACAAAAAATAATTAATAATTTAAACTGTAATAGAAACAACACCACCAAACGGTGTAGAACCCTGGCACCAGCACCGCGAGCAGCTGCAGCAGCAGCTGCAGCAACAGCTGCTGCTGCTGCTGCAGTGAGGCCACTGGTCAGGCGGCGGCTTCGCCTGTTGCTGCAGATTGTTCAGTCGTTTACTGCTGTCTCTTTTATTGATATTTCACAAATATATTCAATCAAATCTACCCCACGCTGTGGGGTCCCTGTGCTGCTGCTGCTGCTGCTGCTGTTGCTGTTGCTGTTGCTGCTGCTGCTGGTTCGACGAGGACGCAGCAGCAGAGACACCCCTAGATGCCGCATGCATGCGTTATCCCCAGCAACCTCACAGGGGAGACACTAGCTGCTGCTGCTGGTGCTGCTTGCGCTGTTGCTGCAGCGCCGGCTGCTGCAGCTTGTCTTAGTGTTGCTGCTGCAGCTGCTGCTGCACTGTTGTTGCTGCATTTAGAGGGTTTGTCTTTGTGGGTGCTTGTCTGTCTGTGTCTGTCTCTGTCTTTCTGTCTATGTCTTTCTTCCTACCTACCTTCTGTCTCTCTTTGTCTTGTGTGCTGTCTCTCTGTCTGTGTCTCTGTCTTCGTCTGTCTCCTTTTCTTTTTCTCTGTCTCTGTCGTTGTCTTTTTGTCTCTGTCTGTTTGCCTGCCTCTGTCTCTTTTTGTTTTTATTTGTTTATCTTTGTCTCTCTGTCTCCTCTCTGCTGTCTTCGTCTGTCTATCTGTTTATATCTTGCTGTCTGTCTCCTTATCTCTTTGTCTCTGTCTCTTTCTTTTTGTCTCTTTGTCTCCTTTGTCTCTTTGTCTCTGTCTGTTTATATCTTGTTGTCTGTCTCCTTTAATCTGTTTGTCTTTTCTTTTGTCTCTGTTGTCTCTTCTTTTGTCTCCTTTGTCTAATTTGTTTCTGCTGTCTCCTTTGTCTGCTGTCTCTCTGCTGTCTCCTCGTCTGTCTCTTTTTTATATTTACTCTTTTATCTATTTTCTTTTCTGTCTCCTTTTAATATATTTATCTGTCTCCTTTTCTGTCTCCTTTTAATATATTTATCTGTCTCCTTTTCTGTCTCCTCCTCTAATTAATGTGTGTCTTTAGGCTTGCTAAGGGCTGTAGAAGCCTCTGTTTGTCTTTAAATATATTTTATGTTTTAATTTATTTTGTTTATTTGTTTATTTGTTTGTCTGTCTCCTACTGTCTCTGTCTCTTCTTTTTCTGCTATTTTTCTTCTCTTGTCTCTCTGCTTGCAACCTGATCTTAAATATTTTAACAACAAACAAAGGAACTTCAGTCTCCTCGACTATTGCTGCTGCTGCTGTTGCTGCTGCTGCTGTTGCTGCTGCTGCTAGGGAAGTAGTTTTAGTGCCGCTACTGCAGCAGCTCTGCAGCTGCAACTGCTGCAGCAGCTCTGCAGCTGCAGCAGCAGCAGCAGCAACCGAGGCGCATCACAAGCCGAGGTGTACGTACACCGCAGCACACAACGAAGGAGTATTTAAACGCTGCTTATCCCTGAGGACTGTCTCTTTATTGTCTTTTGCTTCGTTGCAGAGCGATGTAAAAGTTTCTTTATACGAGTTGCATGCGCTGCTGTTGCTGCTGCAGGAAGCTCCAGCATACCCCGCCGCTGCAGCGAAGCCAGACGATCTGCTGCTGCTGCTGCAGCACCTTGTACCTGCAGCAGCAGCAGCAGCAGCACATGCAGCAGCAGCAGCAAAAGCAACAGCACTAACACCGTTAACACAAAAAGAAGAGAGACAAACGGAGTACCCACTTGTACCTACACCTCATAGCAGCAGCAACAGCAGCAGCAACATCAGCAGCAGCAGCAGCAAGAGCAAGAGCAGCAGCAGCAGCAGCAGCAGCAGCAGCAGCAGCAAATATTTCTGACTCTGGTGGTTCTCAGACAGCCTGTGACGTCTCCGGGCATCGGCGCTTCAACGGGGCCCCCTACAAATCTTCTCTGAGGAGACAGCAGAAATAGAGAGACAGCAAAAAGGAGACAGTAGAAATAAAGAGACAGCAAAAAGGAGACAGTAGAGATAAAGAGACAGTAGAAATAAAGAGACAGAAGACATAAACACAAAAACTAAGAAAAAGAAACTGAAACAAACAAATACACAAAAAAGGAGACAAACAGAGAGACAAAGATATATATATATATATATATATTGTATATATTATATATATTATATATATTATATATATTTTATATATATATATACATATTATATATTATATATATATATGTATATATACGGAGACAAACTAAACCCTAAACCCTCAACACATTGCTGGGGCTTCGTGCTATAGTGTTTGGTGGTTGGGGTGTTGTCTCTAGGGTTTAGGGTTTAGGGTTTAGGGTTTGCTGTGCTCACCCTCCCTATCTTAAACGATACAATACCTTTTCTAGCTGCTGCAGCCTTTGCTTCTTCTCCTGCTTTGCTGAGGAGACAGAAAAAGGAGACAGCTGCTTCTATCCCTAGGGTTTAGGGTTTGTGCATCTAGGGTTTAGGGTTTGTGGGGCTGTTGTTGCTGCTGCTGCTGCTGCTGCTGCTGCGGCTGTTGCTACTGCGGTTGTTGTGGGGTGTACGTGCAGCAGCAGATAGCGGAGACACCCAAAGGAGACAGGAAACAGCAGCAACTCACCGCTTTGCTTTTGCTGCTTCTTGCTGCTGCTGCTGCTGCTGCAGATCCTCAAGCAGCTCCGGCAGCTTGTCTATTGCCTTCCTTAGGGCCTTTTGCTGCTGCTTTGCTGCAGCCTGAGCAGCAGCAGATGCAGCAAGGAAGCCCCTAGAAGCAATAAAACCCTCTTAGGGTTTAGGGTTTAGCGCTAGGGTTTGCAGCGATAACGTACGCCCTGGGGCGCAGCAGGGTTTCAAGCCTCTCTAGGGTTTAGGCTTTGGGGTTTAGGGTTTAGGGTTTAGGGTTTAGGCGTACCCGCCGCAGCTGCTGCTGGTGTCTTCGCTGGCGGTTTCTGTCGGTGCGAGTCTTCTTCTTCGGTACTGAAGGCATCAAACCCTAAACCCTAAACCCTAAACCCTAAACCCTCGACCCTCCGCCGCCTGCATCCTAAACCCTAGCAGCTAAACCTTAAACCCTAAACCTTAAACCCTAGAGGCAGCAGAAGCCCACCCTTCGTGGGCTTTGCTGTTGTAGAGTCACTGTCTCCTGTCTCCTCTTCTTCTGCTGCTGCTGCAGCAGCAGCAGCAGCCCCTTCTTGTGTGGAGACCTTCCCTGTCGTCGCCAACTCCAACAGCATCTGCGCAGCAGCAGCAGCAGCAGCAGCAGCAGCAGCAGCGTGGAGACCCTAATTGACTAGGGAGCAAATAGGAAATTAAAAGCATCAAAAGAAGCGGCCCTTCTGCTGCTGCAGCACTGCAGCAGCAGCAACCATCTGCTGTTGCTGCTCACAAAGACAAAGACATGAGGAGACACTTACCCGCTGTTTGTCTCCTTCTGATAATGCCTCTACTGTATCAGGGCTTAAGTGCTGCAGCAGCGCAGCAGTAACAGGCTGCCTGTGCTTTAGCTGCGCTGTGGGGTCTTGCTGCTGCAGCAGCAACTGCTGCTGCTGCTGCAGCTGCTGCTCCTTGTCCTGCAGATGGCACCGCACCGCCGCATGCGCTGAGCGGCCCTTCTGCTGCTGCATCACTGCAGCAGCAGCAGCAGCAACCATCTGCTGCTGCTGCTTTTCAGCAGAAGGGTTATACGATGTTCCTTCATCAGGCAGCAAAACAGCAGGGACCAGCTCCCGAAGCATCTCCAACCTGCAGCGGCGCCGTTTGCTGCTGCGCCCCGCTGCTGCTGTTGCTGTTGCTGCTGCTGGTGCTGCTGCACCGTCTGCTGCTGCTGCTGCTGCTGCTGGCTCCCGTCTCTTTTCTAAACACACAAACAGAGGCAAAAAGCTGCTGCTGCTGTTGCTGCTGCTCACGGCTCCAGCGAAGCAGGCCCAGTCCCTAGACCCTAAACCCTAAACCCCTGGTCGCAGACCCCCAAACCCTAAACCCTAAACCCTAAACCCTAAACCGCCAGGAGTAAGGACTGACTGCTGCTGTCTGGGGGCTTCACTGGCTCATCTCCCCAGAGATCGACAGCCTCTGCTGCCGCTGCCTTTGCCTGCATACGCGCAAACCCTAAACCCTAAACCCTAAACCCTAAACCCTAAACCCTAAACCCTCATTTGTTGCGTCAGCTCTCCATACCGACGCACAGGGGCTAATGAAAGAAATGCGGGGGCCTGTTGAGCAGCGGGAGTATACACGACATTAGGGTTTAGGGTTTAGGGTTTAGGGTTTAGGGTTTAGGGTTACCTTTCTTCTTTCCTCTGTCTCCTGTCTCTTCTGCTTGCCTCTAATTACGCGCATCAGCTGCTCCTTGTGGGCCTTTGTTGCGACGTCCAGCAGCAAAGATATTAGCAGCAGCGGCAGCAAAGATATTGGCAGCAGCAGCAAAGATATTAGCAGCAGCAGCAAAGATATTAACGGCAGCAGCAGCAGCAAAAATATCAGCAGCAGCAACAGCAAAGGCAGCAGCAGCAACAAATGCAGCACTAGCCACAGGAGCGCAAGACTTCAGGGCAGGTATCTGTCGCAACTTCCACCAGTAGCTGATATTGAGGGTTTAGGGTTTAGGGTTTAGGGTTTAGGGTTTAGGGTTCTAAACCCTAAACCCTAAACCCTAAACCCTAAACCCTAAACCCTAAACCCTAAACCCTAAGGAGTCTAAACCCTAAGGAGTGAAATTTCAAACGGTGATTGAAAATGAGAAGAAACTTTTCAGTTCTTAGGAAGAAGATAATGGTCAGCCAAACCCTAAACCCTAAACCCTAGGCCCTAAACCCTAAACCCTAAACCCTAAACCCTAAGCCTTGAGGGTTTAGGATAAATGTTTATATTTATTCATTAACTAATCTGCAGCATTTTACTTGCGGAGACAAACTCAAATATACTTCTGCTTTTATATCTACAGAAGGATGTCTCTTCGGGGGCCCCCTGTGGGGCAGTCGGATGGGGCCCGGCAGCCGCCAAACCCTAAACCCTAAACCCTAAACCCTAAACACTAAACCCTAAACCCTAAGCCC